ATATTTATAATGTAATTATAATAATATTTAATAGATATATATTTATCTCCATTATTTTACATTTATAAAGTAATTATAATAATATTTAATATATATATATTATTTATCTTCATTATTTTATATTTATAATGTAACTATAAGAATAGTTAATATATATCTTTTATTACAGATATTATTTTGCATTGTTAGGTTAGTATGTGGGCTTAGGACTAAGCTAAGTGTCCTAAACTGGCAAATCCCAAGAGAAATTATTTGGTTTATAGCCAAAAATATTGTTATCAGCAAGGGTACCCATTTGATGAAAAAATGCATGCTAATCTTTATAAGTAAGGACAACATATTTAATTAGCTATACTCATTATCAGGCTGATTTTTATTTTTGATCCAAGTAGTTAGCTTGCTCTGATCAAAAGCTAATATTAATGACATCTAAAATAATTTTCTTTAAACTTAGTTTTTTTACATTTGAGTACATTATTCAATGATAGGATAAAAGTGTTTTTTCATTACCATTAAAACTTGTGTCGGCATCTTTGTATGTTTAGAGTATGTGGAGGATGTTTATGAAAGGAAACCAGTTGTTGGTTGTTGGTGTGCCAAATTCTTCTTACTCGTAAGTACAATATATATTGCTTTAGAACCTGCATTTGTTGAATAACAATACTGATAACCTTGTACAATTATCATAGTTAAATGTGGGAGGTAGCATATACTTTTTTTAATTAAATAAATCAATTCAACTTTTTATATAAAACAAAAATGGTTTATGTGTACTTATGAATGTAACATTTTTTTTCTTGTTTTATATAATATTATCCTCCTTTATTATCTATTGTAGAATCTTACACTGTCTCAAGAAATGTATTTTTAGGTTAGAAAGGACCATTATAAGGTCAGTGTTAGTGTTATCTATATGCAGAAGTAACAGAATATCTAGTTGGAAGTTAAAGGTTTTACTTTCTAATTCCACTAAGGTCTTTAAGAAAAAAACTGGTATGCTGGTACAAATTAGTGTACTTCTATTTTATGGCAAAAAATCAGATAGTTGTATCCAGTTTTCAATAGTTAGTAGAGTAGTAGCACACCAGAGAAATGTCCTAGAAATCAAGAAATAAACCAGTGTTTTCAAGCCTTCTCAAATCATGCCCATTTACCTATAAAGTCAGAAAATTGGATAGAACAGGATACGATAATGAAACCTGTTTAGGCAGTACTCTGTGCCAGTACAGTTTTGAAACTCCTCAGCAGTAACAGAATGTAAAATCTCTCGGCATCTCAGGACTATTATAGGTTTAAAGAAATTTTTTATCACGCAAGATCAAAAAACCACAGAGGCAGTATGTGCCCCTGGTTGTTTTTCTTTGTCCCTAAATATACCCATTCTTTCTCCAACTGTTGTTGTTGCTGTTCAGCTGTTGCCATATTATAAGAGTATTGGTCAATTTCACTACTTCATTCAAAGATCTGGTGGCAGGTGTTGATGTTTGGCTACTATCTTTGTGGTTGTAGTTCAAATTAGGGATGTGTCTCCCTGAATTCTAGGAATCTCTCACTTGGTTGTTTAGCCCATGTGTTAATATGGTGCTGTTATGCTAGAAAATTCCAACTAATTAGCCAGTGTTAAGTGATAAATAACTGAAAAACTTGTACTGACAAAAGGTTCAAATGTATTAGATCCCTTTATTAGACTGATTTAAGCTAAAACAGACCCAAATGTAGGATAATATTCATACATTTTTTGGAAAGTTTTATAGAAATATCAGATTTAAAATTTGATTACCTGAAATAATTATAAATGGCACAGTTCTTGTATTGTCTTTACAGTGTTTTCAAGCCTTCTCAAGTCACGCCCATTTACCTAGAAAGTCACAAAATTGACAAGAACAGGATACGATAATGAAACCTGTTTAGGCAGTACTCTGTGCCAGTACAGTTTTGAAACTCCTCAGCAGTAACAGAATGTTAAATCTCTCGGCATACCAGGACTATTATAGGTTTAAAGAAAATTTTTATCACATGAGATCAGAAGACCACAGAAACAGTATGTGCCCCTGGTTGTTTTTCTTTGTGCCGAAATATACCATTTCTTCCTCCAAGTGTTGTTCTTGCCAATGGACAGCTCCCGACACTGTTGTTGTTCGACAGCACTGCCGTCTATTAGTGACAGCTGATAAAAGTTGTGTGAGAAAGTCTTGGAGAAGATTATCATACAGCAGCAGTTTGTGGTAGCCAAAAACAAGAAAACGTTTTTTTTTATGCTGAAAATCAACATTTATGTGCAGAACGTGTACATTTTTGTTGTTTGATGTGTACATATAAATGTAGCATGTAATGTCTGTAATTGCTCTAAGTGACTCTAACAACTAACTGAACAAAACGGCACTTGAAAGCGTGAGTATTTCTAACTTGCATTGTTAGAGAAACCTTGTAGGGTATGAAAGTTAAGTTAAAAGTCATCTAACTGTGTTTCTTTGAGCTACATTAGCTTTATGTACCCATTCACTGTTTTCTGTACATTTTCCTTACTCACTTATCTAGTTGAGCTATTTATTGAGCTTTTATTCCTTGGCAGTTAAACATCAACATTCACATCAAATGAGCATTTTGGAAAAAAATACAGCTGGATTTCTTAATCATAAGGTTTTTACTAATGTTTTATCATGGTGAGTCAATAACTGTGATCTACCAAATATTTTAACTTTTTTTTTTTTTTCCAGAGGTTAGATGAGACAATATGATTTTTAATCCTTAGGTTTCTGAATTCAATCCTAAGCTAGTGTATGTTTCAATATTTACTTTTGTTAAGTGTTACATAACTACTTGTAAGTGTCTAGTGAGATGCTTTTAGTTAACCCTTAAATAGTCAGATGTTTAGATAAAAGTTTTTTAATCTTAAGTTCTTTTGTACTGATTCTTGTATACACACTGACTTTCTGATGTTCTTTTGTGTTTTTGTAAATTTTAATTATCAGGTCTGTTAAGCCTAAATTACTGTATCTTCTTATTTATCAGCTACATCTAAATTAGCTACAAACAACAAAAATAACTGAAGCTTTTCAAGTATTTCTGGAACTTATTTATCAGATCTTCTGATGTACTAATCCTAAACTATCAGGTCTCTTAATATATCTTTCAGCTTAAATTATCAGGTTTCCTAATTTGTCTTTCAACCTAAATTATCAAGTCCCCTACTGTATCTATCAGCTTAAATTATCAGATATTTATAATATGTCTGAAGTATTTAATTCTCTGATTTATGATTTTGCCTAAGTATGTTTTAGTATTGTCTGTTAAACGTAAATTATCATGTCTTTTAATGACTGTGTAAATTGAAATTATGTTTTTGATAAAAACTAACTTGGATTATGAAGCAGCGAACAGCTGTTTTATGCTCTTAGTTGTGTTGTAAGTGCTAATCATCATGTTTTTCTATGATAGTCAGTGTAAAAAAAACATCAAATTAACTGATTCTACTGAAGTGCTTAAACATACCCTGCCTGAGGTGAGGAATTTGGTGGTAAAAACCCTCAGCTGCCACTACCTAGTCCTTTACGTTTACTTAAAAGAATGGCAAGTTATGGAATAAGCCACACGCATATCCTGATGTTCCTTATGTAAGAAATAATGTATTTTCATCCAGTACTTTTATATTGGAAAAAAGTTTTATTGGATACTTTGCACTTAGCACTATCAATCTCTTGATTAGCTGGTACTTAGTATCATTCATTGACTTGTAATTATATGTTCAAGTAAAAATTGGTTTTGTGAAGAATCTCAACTTCTTTATGTTTCAACTTATCAGTTTTTATTGTAACTTATTACTTATGTATGCATTATAATTTGTCCAGAAAGTCCTTAAAATATCATATTTTTTGTAAAAGTGATTATTATATTTTTCCAGTATTGCTAACAGTACCAATTAGTACCAAGGTCAGAAGCAAACTGATAAATCCTTTGAGACACATTTGTTGCTGACCTCTGTATGAGTACCACACACCTTTTTCTTTTCTTTTTTTTTTTTTGGGGGGGGGGTACATGTCTTGGGAGAGTAAAGTTATCTCACAAATAGCAATAAAATCATCTTATTGCTTAATTCATAAATTTATTCAGAATCTTGCTCTATATAAAAAAGCTTTGTGATACAAAAACATATAAGTTGTAGCTATATTTTTTCAAAAATGTTACTAACTTATGATAATGTTTTATCAGTATTTCTGTATTGATACATTTAGCCAGCGATAAACAAATCAATCCACTACAGCTCCATCAGCATTTTCAATTGTGGTCTGAAGACTGGTAGTCACCAGGCACTAATTTTCAAAGCTACCATGGATTTTCAGGCTTGCCAATTATCATGAAATTACTCGGATAACAATGTCTGAAAAGTAAAGAACAGAATGTTTAGAATCATGATGACGGTTTGTATGCACCTGAAAATTCTAATTTGTTCACCCCAGTCCAGGACAAAATAAACAGTGTACCTACAGATAGTTTCTGTACATTTGTTCATTGATTCAGTTTATTATTACCATAAGTTGATAAGATGTGCCACATCATAAGCCTTATGTCTCCAAGAAGAAAAATTAATTATTAACTGAGTATTGGTTCCCATTACCTGTAGTTACTGACTAAATGCTATTAGCTGAGTTTGCCTGTTTGCTATCTGTAGTTGCTGAAAATTCATGAGTCAAACTTTGTACATTGCCTATCTGTTTGTCTTCGTTCTTTTTTTGTTTTTTAATAGTTTTAAAAAAATTATGCCTAAGTTCTTTTTCTTTTTACAACTAAGCTGAATTAATACAAAGAAAACTATAGTGATTCTTAATAATCTTACATTTTCAAACAAAAATAAGTTGTTGAAAATTTCAGGGATGAGTTTTGTCCTGAAAGTACTAGTCCTTTGTGCCGTTGACTTGCCCTAATATCCTTTGAGAAACTGCTTAGTATGAAAGTAGAATATGTTTTGTTTTCCTCCTTGTGTCACAGTGGTAAGTCTGCGAACGTATCAAGCTAAAAATCAGGTTTAGATATCCATGGTGGGCAAAACACATATAGCCCATTATATACCTTTGTGCTTTGACTATGAATAAAGTTTTTGTTGATATCTTAAACTTATAAAGTGAGAGAGAAAACTGGCAAAAATGTGCATCCTATCCCAGAAGACTAGTTTTAATAACAGTAAATGCCCCTGTAAAAATGTGTATCCTATCCCGGAAGACTAGTTTTAATAACAGTAAATGCCCCTGTAAAAATGTGTATCCTATCCCGGAAGACTAGTTTTAATAACAGTAAATGCCCCTGTAAAAATGTGTATC